GAACCCAGGACTCACTTCCATCACCTCTTCCTGGTCTGTGAAAGGGGCTTGGACTGGTTACCTGGTGGGGTGAAGGGAACTTCCACACCATGGGGTGGCAAGCACAGCCCTTACCTTCCTGCCATCCTCGTCCCTGTCCCAGCTCTCCACTTGCCATCTGCCTGCCTCTGTGAGAGCCTGTGTGAATCACTCACAGGACCGCGTGAGTCACTCATTCCCCCTCTGATGAATAAATAACATTAAGTCCCCCCAAAGCAGAGTGGTCCGGTTTAAACGAGGTGTCACACAGAGATTGAGTGCGGTTCTGCGTTCCCTTCTGAGCTGGCACTGCTGTCACACCAGGCACGCTGCCAGTGCTCAGCTGGGGCTTTGGGGCCGTCGGGCTCCAAGTCCTGCTGCTTTAGCTTCATCTGGATTAGATGTTCAGATCACCAGACTCGGCGAGAGGCAAAGCGAGCCCCACACATCACCATTTGTCCCGTGTGGGAAGAGTCTGCGGTCTGGAGGTGAGCAGACACTGCTTTGCTCATGGTTTTAATCTTCCTTGAAACAGACTCATCCTCTATTCCGCTCACAAATGCTGAGACGTCCCAAAGGCAAATCAACAATTTTAACATTCCAGAACTACTTTCCATAGTCTATGACATATGAAGACTTTGAATGCAAAACCCAGAATGTTCTTGGTGTAGTTGGTCATGTCTGTGGCACCTTTTTTTACCTCATCGCAGGCGTTGCCTTCATGTCCCGGTATCTGCCCCACGCCTCTCTCTGGAGCAGCCTCCTCACCTGGCCATGGTGGGGCTGGAAGAAAAACAGTTTGATTTTCTGGTGAAAGTTACTCACAATAGGGTGTGAATGCAAGTCACAGATTTAGCTCCTTGTAGGGCAAGATTCCGTTATATTGTACGGTATTCTACAGTATTGAATTATTTTATTTTTTTAGAGAAGGGGTCTCACTCTGCCTCCCAAGTTGAAGCACAGTGTTGTGATCATAGCATTTTAGAAGAGAAGGTTATTAATCAGAATCTAATTGATAGAAGGTTGACGAGACTTGTGTTCTGAGAGGAATTTTCGAGAACCTTTGTAAGTCTGGTCAGCCCACTTTGTCTGATTCACTTTACTCCTTTGAGGAAATACTAAAGAGCATGATTGCTGAATCATATGATAAGAATGTGTTTAGGTTCATAAGAAATTGCCAAAAAAGAAAAAGAAAGAAAAAGAAAAAAGAAAAGGAAAAGAAAAGAAAAGAAATTGCCAAACTGTTTTCCAAAGTGACCGCACCATTTTGCATTTTCACCAGCCCTGAACGAGCGTTCCCATTGCTCCAGATCCACGTCAGCATCTGGGGGTCTCTGTCCTCTGGATTTTCGCCCTTCTAATAGGTGTCTCCCGATAGCTTATTGTTCCTTTAGATTGCAGTTGGTAATGCTTATTTACTGTTTGTGTATCTTCTTTGGTGAGGTGTCTTTTAAGGTCTTTGTTCCATGTTGCAGTTGGGTTATTTCCTTCTTACTGAGTTTTTTTTTTTTTTCCAAACACAAGGTCTCACGTATTTATTACTGCACCAGCTTATTAGTGAACAACACATAAACAAAGAGAAAACTCATTTTCCCAGTGAAGTGTGGCAACTGTCCAACTGATGACATTTTCAGCTTGATATGGTAAGGTGATAGTGATCGAAATACGGCCCGAGTACATGCCATCTGGTGTGCAATTCCTTATAGACCCAGCTGGGTTCTTCTCCAGTGTCTCCTCTTCCAGTTGTACCTGATTTTATTACCAGTTTTCATTCGAATCCACTGGGGAATGGGACGATTTTGTTTTTGTTTCTTGGCCAAAAACTGCTTGATTCTGAAAGTCTTATGGGAAGACATGGTGACAAACGGGACTGCTCAAACTCACCACAATGGCGTAGAGTGAGAGAAATTCCTATTGAGTTTTTAAAGTCCTTTGTGTATTTTGTTTTTTTGGCTGGGGCTGGGTATGAACCTACCAACTCCGGCATATGGGACTGACACCCTACCCTTTTGATCCAGAGGTGCTGCCCCCTTTGTGTATTTTGGATAAGTCTTTAATGGGAATGCCTTTTGCAAATGTACC